GAGTGTATGACTCTAGAACTGACGCCATTCCCACCTCAGCAAAGAGATCTCCTGATCCATGGATCTCTTTTGCTCCAATTTTATTAAAATACAATTGACATATAACATTATGTAAGTTTAAGTTATACAGCATGTTGATTTGATGCACTTATAGATTGCAAAATGATTACCACCATAGTGTTAGCTAACACCTCCATCACCTCACAAAATTACCATTTCTCTTTTGTGGTGAGAACATTTAAGATCTACTATCTTAGCAACTTTCATGTGTATACCACAGTATTGTTAGCTATAATCACCATGATGTACACTGGATCCCCAGAACTTACTCATCTTATAACTGGAAGTTTGTATTCTTTGACCACCATCTCCTCATTTCCCTCACCCACCAGTCCCTGGTAACCACTGATCTACTCTCTATTTCTATGAGTTTGGCTTTATTAGATTCCACATGTGGTGCTATAATACAGTATTTATCTTTCTCTGTCTGATTTATGTCACTTAGCATAATGTTCTAAGGTCCATCCCTGTTGTTGCAAACGGCAGGATTTTCTTCTTTCTCATATACTACATTCTCTTTATCCATTTGTCCATCGAAGAGCACTTAGGTTGTTTCTATATCTTGGCTGTTACGAATAGTGTTACAATGAACACAGGAGTGCAGAAATCTCTTCAAAGTCCTGTTTTCACTCCCTATGAGTATATACCCAGAAGTGGGATTGCTGGATAATATTTAGTTCTATTTATATTTTTAATTTTTGAGGTACCTCCATACTGTTTTCCATAGTGGCTGTACCAATTTAAATTCCCATTAACAATGCACAAGGTTTCCTTTACTCTCAAGCATTTTCTTCCGTGGAGATTTTTGCTTTATTCTAATGAAATGTCAAGTGTGGAAATTTGGCATTCAACAAGGAATACTGCTTAACTTTCTTTTCCTTAAAAACCTTCAAAAATAAGTAAGTGTGAGGCTTTCTAGGAAATCAAGCAGAAATAGTGCAGGCTTGAAGAACTTCTCATGCCATGACTGACCAACATGAACAGACATAAATCAGCAGTGCTTGAACTTGGAAAAAATCCAAGTCTCATTCAATATACTTCTAGAGGTATAATGCAGATACAAAATAATTTGTCCCAGGTTAAAAGAAGACTCAAGAAATCATTGTATGACCCCTATCACCAGCTTAGTTCAGATATCAGCTTGGAGAGGCAGAGAAATTAGATTTGAGCAGACTCCAAAATATGTAGACTGTACTGTGTGGAGGCCATTTCACCGCTGAAAATAACCATCCCTGCAAAGTTAAATCCTGGAAGAGATGTGAAGCCATAGAACCGATTTGATTGCTTACCTACCTACCCATTTATAGTTCCTCTTCCTTCTAGCCAGGTAGAATGTCAGAGAAAAATAGAAGTAATCTGAGAACTAGAGCCACAAACAGCTTTCTGGACAGGAGAAATACATACGTTAACACAAAACAAAAACCCCATCAACCCTGGACATTTTTCATGAAACTGGATTCCTTCCTCTGAGATGGAATACAATGAAACATGAAGGGCACTCAACACCAAAGTGTATGCCTTCTTAACATGGAGCAGCTTCCCCAGTACAGGGGCAAACAGATGAGCATGATATATATAGCATGATATAAAAGAAAACAAGCCCAATGTTAGGATCACTGGTTTAGAATTAGACTCACTAACTGTGAAAGTGGACGGAGATTGGAAAGAAGTAGAAGTTCAATAATTTCTTCACTTCAATATATTATGATTTTGGCCTTTAGAATCAATCAAAACATATTTTGAATGTAGCTTTAACAAGAAATAGTTATGGGCCCCTGGTCTAATGACTGACTTCTCTCAACCTCAGCTTTTGTTGTTGTTGTTTTGTTTGTTTTTTGGGTTTTTTTTTTGTGGTACGCGGGCCTCTCACTGTTGTGGCCCCTCCCACTGCGGAGCACAGGCTCCGGACACACAGGCCCAGCAGCCATGGCTCACGGGCCCAGCCGCTCCGCGGCATGCAGGACCCTCCCAGACCGGGGCACGAACCCATATCCCCTGCATTGGCAGGCGGACTCTCAACCACTGCACCACCAGGGAAGCCCCATCAACCTCAGCTTTTTCACCTGCAAAATCACTTGATGAGAAGTGTGCCTATTTCATAGGGTTGTTGTGAGAATAAGATGATGCATGCAAATTCCCAAGCAGTTACTAAGAAAAGACTCATTAGGCATCAGCTATAGCTATTAATATTTCATAGAGGAGAATTCAAAGAAACTCTTGTATATCTAAAAGTGATACTTGAAAATTTAAAGTTGAATGTGCTATTTTAAATATTTAAATGTGTAAAACTAAAACCTATCAGAATTAAAAATTAGTTGATATATCTTCTTCTTGGATTGATCCCTTGATCATTATGTAGTGTCCTTCTTTGTCTCTTGTAATAGACTTTAAAGTCTCTTTTGTCTGATGTGAGAATTGTTATTCCAGCTTTCTTTTGATTTCCATTGGCATGGAATTTTTTTCCATCCCCTCATTTTCGGTCTGTATGTGTCCTTAGGTCAGAAGTGGTCTCTTGTAGACAGCATATATACTGGTCGTGTTCTTTTATCCATTCAGCCAGTCTATGTCTTTCGGTTGGAACATTTAATCCTCTCACATTTAAGATAATTATCGAAATATATGCTCCTATTACCATTTTCTTAACTCTTTTGGGTTTGTTTTTGTAGGTTCTTTTCTTCTCTTGTGTTTCCCACTTAGAGAAGTTCCTGTAGCATTTATTGTACAGTTGGATTGGTGGTGCTGAATTCTCTTAGCTTTTGCTTGTCTGTAAAGGTTTTAATTTCTCCATTGAATCTGAATGAGATCCTTGCTAGGTAGAGTAATCTTGGTTGTAGGTTTTTCCCTTTCATCACTTTAAATATGTCCTGCCACTCCCTTCTGGCTTGCAGAGTTACTGCTGAAAGATCAGCTGTTAACCTTATGGGGATTCCTTTGTATGTTACATGTTGTTTTTCTCTTGCTGCTTTTAATATGCTTTCTTTGTATTTAATTTTTGATAGTTTGATTAACATGTGTCTTGGTCTGCTTCTCCTTGGATTTATCCTGCCTGGGACTCTCTGTGCTTCCTGGACTTGACTATTTCCTTTCCCACATTAGGGAAGTTTTCAACTATAATCTCTTCAAATGTTTTCTCAGTGGGGGGGTGGTGGTGGTCGTGGTGGTGTGATGAATTGGGAGATTGGGATTGACATATATACACTAATATGTATAAAATAGATAACTAATAAGAACCTGCTGTATACAAAAATAAAAATAATAAAATTCAAACATTCAAAAATTTTTTTCTCAGTCCCTTTCTTTTTCTCTTCTTCTTCTGGAACCCCTATAATTCGAATGTTGGTGCATTTAATGTTGTGCCAGAGGTTTCTGAGACTGTCCTCAATTCTTTTCATTCCTTTGCCTTTATTCTTCTGTGTGATAGTTATTTCCACTATTTTATCTTCCAGGTCACTTATCTGTTCTTCTGCTTCAGTTATTCTGCTATTGATTCCTTCTAGAGAATTTTTAATTTCATTTATTGTGTTGTTCCTCATTGTTTGTTTGCTCTTTAGTTCTTCTAGGTCCTTGTTAAACGTTCAAGTTATTAAAATAAAAAAATAAAAGGAGAAGAGAGCAACCAAACCAATAAACAAATCCACCAATGATAACAAGCGCTAAAATCTCTACTAAGATAAAAATGAAAATCAGAGACATGTCAGTCGCAGACAGCAAATCCCAAGTCTACAGTTGCTCCCAAAGTCTACCGCCTCAATTTTGGGTTGATTTGTTATCTATTCAGGTATTCCACAGATGCAGGGTACATCAAGTTGATTGTGGAGATTTAATCCACTGCTCCTGAAGCTGCTGGGAGAAATTTCCCTTTCTCATCTTTGTTCGCACAGTTCCTGGGGTTCAGCTTTGGATTTGGACCCGCCTCTGCGTGTAGGTCGCCCTCAGGCATCTGTTCCCCACCCAGACAGGAAGGGGTGAAAGCAGCAGCTGATTCGGGGGCTCTGGCTCACTCAGGCTGGGGGGGGGGAGGGGTACGGAATGCGGGGTGAGCCTGCAGCGACAGAGGCCTGCGTGATGTTGCAACAGCCTGAGGCACGCCATGTGTTCTCCTGGGGAAGTTGTCCCTGGATCATGGGACCCTGGCAGTGGCATGCTGCACAGGCTCCCGGGGCAAGTGTGTGGATAGTGACCTGTGCTTGCACACAGGATTCTTGGTGGTTGCAGCAGCAGCGTTAGCGTCTCATGCCCATCTCTGGGGTCTGAGCTGATAGCTGTGGATCCTGCCTGTCCCTAGAGCTCACTTAGCCGGTGCTCTGCCTTCTGTGGGTAGACAGGGAAGGAATCCCCTCTCCTTGTGCACCCTGAAACAATGGTCTCTTGCCTCTTAGGTAGGTCCAGGCTTTTTCCTGGACTCCTTCCCGGCTAGCTGTGGTACGCTAACCCCCTTCAGGCTGTGTTCACACAGCCAACCCCAGTCCTCTCCCTGGGATCCGACCTCTGAAGCCCGAGCCTCAGCTCCCAGCCCCTGCCCACCCCGGCAGGTGAGCAGACAAGCTTCTCAGGCTGGTGAGTCCTGGTTGGCATGGATCCTCTGTGTGGGTACCTCTCCGCTTTGCCCTCTGTACCCCTGTTGCTGCACTCTCCTCTGTGGGCCCAAAGCTCCCCTCCTGCCCAACCTCTGTCTCCACCAGTGAAGGGGCTTCCTAGGGTGTAGAAACTTCTCCTCCTTCACAGCTCCCTCCCAGAAGTGCAGGTCCCGTCCCTATTCTTTTGTCTCTGTTTTTTCTTTTTTCTTTTGCCCTACCCAGGTACGTGGGGAGTTTCTTGCCTTTTGGGAAGTGTGAGGTCTTCTGCCAGCGTTCAGTAGGTGTTCTGTAGGAGTTGTTCCTCATGTAGATGTATTTCAGATGTATTTGTGGGAAGGGAGGGGATCTCCATGTCTTACTCTTCCACCGTCTTGTAGGTCCCCTTCCTATCCATTAACTTTTACTTACTTCTAACCTGTAAAATAGATCATGACAGTTTATGTACACAAACACACACACATACACTCATGCACCTTAAATGTATTTGTTATAATTACCAGTACTGCTGATATGTAGACATACCAGTAGTGGAAAATGCATGGCATCATTCAGGTTATAACTCCTATCAGGTTTAAATTAAGTATAAACTATATTTTGAGCATCTAGAATGAGGTTGTTCACAATTGCTAGCCTGTTTCAAATTAATCGAAGTGTGTTCAGCTACATCTTTTTGGAAAAATGGAAAATATGACATGGTTAATGTGAGTTGGAACTAGATTTCTATTGGCTTGAGAATAACATACTGTAAAATACAAAGACAGCTAAATTGTATAAGGTCATTCTTGGGCTTGTCAGAGTTGCAAAAATGTGATCTGCCTCAATCATAAGTATAAGATAGTATCATAAAATGGGCAATTAAACAAAAGGAGTAACCACATGTATTTGAAAATTTGTTTCCTTTGAAGAAATGTGCCACTTTCCATTCTGCATATTCAAGGTGTCATTTATATTTACATTTATGATCTAAATGATCTTCAGTTTTTTCATATAAAATTATTTGGTTTGTGATATTCATTTTTCTGATGGAAAAACTGAGTCAGAAAAAATTAGATAGAGATGTGAACCAAATCTCCATACACACATGAATAGAGAATGAGTAACAATCTGTAACTTCAGGTAGTGATCTTTAGTTTCTTAATTTCTCCTTACCACTCATTCCTGATTCATTGATGAACTGCTGATTCAAAACACACATTTCATTTACAAGACTGACTTTTATATGCAATCCCTGCAAAACATCACTTGCCCCATGACCAGAAAAACAGTTAAGGCACATGGAATCATCAGTCTCAGGTCATGTTTCTAATATGGTCCTTTGGATGTTGGTGTCATCTGTCTTCTTACCAAAGATTAATCACTGCAGTCTGACCAATCAGGTAAATTGACATCAGCCATGAAAATCAACAATGACATAAATGGGACTATATTCCATAGTTTTCACATGTGGTCACACCTTGTACATCATAAGCTAAATTTCTAATCAATTTTTAAGCAAATAATCACTGGTGCTTATGCTAATATATTTCCTTGCTTTGTTAATCAATTATCAAAATTGTGATGTTATTATATAACTCTTATAGCAAGAGACATTGATATAATAAAGTATAGATGTTGTAAAAAAAACCAAAACACAAGAAACAAAAAGCAAAATCAATGAATCAGGAGGTTTAAAATCAAACCCTGTGTTTAGGCCATGTAGTTTATTATATAGGACAACGTGAGACTTTGGACAGTCACTTAACTTGAGCCTCATGTGACTGTCTATCCTGGCTATTTGGTGGAATTATGAGGTTAGAATGAAAAGTTTTGTGAAAGTTGTCCATAAGCATGTAAGGGCTTCACTTATGTATTGTATCACTGCCAAAACACATAGATCAAGGATGCTTTTTTCAAATTCAAAATGATGATTGGCTGATTCCATACTCAGTGAAAACCAGTATGGTGTTCCAAGCTGAATTTGGATTGTAGAATATGGACAGACTGAGAATCACAAGAATGGAGGTAGTGAGAGATGGTCAGGGGAACACATTTGACATGGTTCATCATCATTTCCTGTATGTTACATAAAGCTATCATATGATTTAAAAAAAGGCCACGGGCTTCCCTGGTGGCGCAGTGGTTGGGAGTCCACCTGCCGATGCGGGGAGCACGGGTTCGTGCCCCGGTCTGGGAGGATCCCACATGCCGCGGAGCAGCTGGGCCTGTGAGCCATGGCTGCTGAGCCTGCGCGTCCGGAGCCTGCGCTCCGCGATGGGAGAAGCCGCAGCAGTGAGAGGCCCACGTACCGCAAAAAAAATTTTTGAAATTAAAACAAAAATAAATAAATAAAAAATTTAAAAAGGCCACCTTTTAAATTAGTTGTTTTGCTGATTTATAAATTTGTTTTGTTACATCAATAATTTTCACATTCTTATTCATATTCCTATTCATTAATTTTATGAAAAATTTTATAAAAATATTGAAATCCATATTGGGATTAAGATTTACAAATTAATTTCTGGTTTAGAAACTTTAGAATGCCAGTGACACTTGGCATGATAGTTCATCTTAATAACCTTATAATAGAACTGTCAGCATTACAAAAAATAGTCCACATATCTCCAACTCTTGGATTCACTCAGTGTTAAACTGAGGTCTCAAAATTTTGATTAAGGGAAAAACATTTAGAAGATTTGTAGGCTAAAATTTAATTCTATGATAGAGAAACCATAGTTTACATATTATTACAGTTAACTCAGTTTAATCTGTTCCAATTCTGAGATTCTTAGACATATTTTATGAAAAATTTGGTTGGTTGTGCAAACTGTAGTGTTTATTAGGTATTTAGTGCAATCTATAGATTAAAATACAAAAGCAATGTTCAAGTCTATTTATTACAACCCTCCACCATTGACACTAAAAGGTTATTATGAAAAAATAATTATTATGAAATAGCAGAGCTATTTCACAAACACAAAATAGATACACAATCCTTACTTTGCTTAAAATGATAGAGCACATTTAAACATTAAGCAAGAAGAAAGTCAGAATGGAGATGAAATAAGCACCATCCAAAAAGTCCTATATGAAGAAGTTGTCTAAAAGTGTTTGTGAATTGTGAGTCCATATTTAAAACATTTTGATTATATATCGAAAGGAGGAACATTTCAAATGTATGTTTAATAACTTCTATAAAAAAGAAAGATGATGTAAATGACTTAAACATCAAACTATTTTAAATTTATCATTACCCTCATATCCTACTTATTTTCATCTTAATTTTAATACTTTAAAGTAATATCATCAATTAATTGCTGTTCAGTACCCTGCAATCACTATTTCTTATAGCTACCTATGTCAATAACTCATCTCAACAGCTATAGAAAATGTTACTGTACTATTCACAGGGTCTGAGAAAGAGATGAATGCAGCTTCTAATTTGTGTCATTATGCCAATATTTACTTAGAATTTTGTTTAATACTCAGCCTCTATGTCACTACTATTTTGTTCATCTCATTTTAATGGTCTTTCAAATAAAAAAATCTGACAACTATACTCTTCAGAGAATTAGGTATTTCACAAAGTAGCAAGCATTTTATCACTGAAAATATTTAAGCAGAATGCAAAACATATATATGTATATATAGATACACTAATTTTATAGCATTTATATAAATTATATATACATATGTGTGTATATATGTGTATCTATACATACATATATATGTATATATAAAATATGTTTGTATTTTCGGCTCTCTAACCTATACCAGCTTTCCTAGGACCTTCCTACCTATAAACAAGGAAGACTGAAAGAGCAATCATTTTATGTGACAAAACCCTACCCCCAATGGCCATAAATGATTGATCCAGGATGGGTAACTTACCCAAGATGAGTCCTTTGTGTGATAATTGGACTTGGAAGCCACAGAAGCAAGGCAGTCACACTTGAGCCAGGTCTTATAAAACTCAGGAACTGTAAGAAGCTATGTGTTTTGCCATGTGGAGAAAGAATGAAGCCAACAAGCAGTGAAAATCAGAGACAAAGTTATTGAACCCTGGTGGTATTTGAGACAATTTCTTCCTTAGTACCAGTTATAACCCTGCTTTGACTCCCATGAAATTCTACACTATTCTTGTAATAAATTTCCCTATTTTCTTATGCCAGTTTTGGTTGGATGTCTTTCACTTGCAACCAAATATTAAACAGCTATTTATTAGGGATAATATAGAAAGCTGTTTAACTTTAGATGTAAAGCTGAAATTGATGAGTCCTGACATTGCATGAAATTCTAAAAATTTAACCACTGTATGACTATGAACTTGCTAACTAATAAATTTTTGGCAGGTAGAAATTTTTAAGTTCTTATCTTTATTTCCCATAAAATAATATTATTTGTCATAAACAAAAAGGGATTTTTAAAAACTATCCAAGTTCAGTACAGGTTTATAAACAGACATGAGACATGGCTGCTAAGGGGTGACAGAGGGGCAGGATGGGAGAGGCACATACCTAAGTGACATGGATTTAGCAGTGTGCAAGGTTAGAGATCAAGACTCAAAATTTGATTTGTGAAGGTAAATTACTCTGAATATGAAAAAAATGTATAGGTCAGGGTTCCAGATATCAGGATAAAATGAAGAACATGGGTAAATCTGTAGACTATTTGGACGTCCAGAAAAGGGAGGCATTGCTGAGCAGATACACAAAATACATTGTTAGGGTATATGGACAATGGCCGAAACCAATTAGATCCACTCCAAGAAGTCGATTCTTTACCTTCAGTCCTGGGCTGCATGCAAAGACTTGAAAAAACAAGTGGGAAAGAGATGATGAACCAGCAGTCTGGAGATTAATCTAGAAGAGGTAGATGGGTTCACAATAAAGAAGGCAAAGATTGGGGAGCACTCTGTTGAATAAGATTCTCTGCCCAATCAGTGGCAGCTTCTACCCTACAGACATCTAGCACATCTTCCTCTAGCCTGAAGTTTGACTGGAAAGATGCTCAGCCTTGTCTAGCCAGTTAAACTCCACTGACTGAAGAGCCTACTTATTAAATCTTGTCCTTTAGGAAAATTTTCCTAACTTTTTGATAAAAGAAAGACTTGCTGGGTTTAACTAGAGTTCTACATAGTGGATCTGTCTTTCTACATATTTTATTTTAGAGTGTCTTATTTCCTGTTATTTATAATTTCTTCATCATTAAAAAAAATTTTTTTAACGGAGATCTGAAATGCAGTGTTAAAGGGACAGTCCTAAAGACAAAACTGGGATCTGCTCTTCCTAGTCACTTTCTAGCTCTCCAGAAGCCCTTCAAGTACCTGAACTTCTTCTTTCCCTTGAAAACAAAGAATACCTTAAGACCAAGTGGTTAAATAACTTAGGTCAAAGGTAGTCAGGATCACAAGGGAAAATGCTGGTCACATTAAGCCAGTAGAATTACAGGCCAGTATTACCTTTCCTGCCTACACGACTGTCTCAAGAGAAGGACTAGAGGAGGATAGTAGTAGATCTGCCTTTTGTTTTAAGGATTAGACAGTATCTCTGGGCTTCCCAATCACTACATGTTATGCAATAATGAAATTATGAGTTGGATTTCATACCCTAGGAAGAATTCCTCAATGAAATGCCAAGGGCTGAAAAACATTTTTTGAGCATATGAGATGTGGAAGGCATTGAGCAAAATCCCCTCTCCAGAGGTAAAAGGACATAGCTAATGAGGTCAGAGGTTTAAATGGAAGAATTGGGTTCAAAATTAGCATTTTTATTTTCCTGTAATGCCTTATAGAATGTCCCTACTATATCTTATTGTCCAAAATACACTTGGATGAGAAGACTGCACAGAATAAAAAATGTGGTCCTTCAATACCTTTCTCTTTTAAAAGAGGAACTGGCAATGTATACTGAATTCTATGGGAAACACAGAAATAAATGCCTAAAGTAAACTAACTTGTTGGTGATTTTGCAGGTATTTTTCAAAGTTTTCATGTGAAAGGACTCTGGAATTCATTTGCTCTGCAATCTCTTTCTTTAGGCATGAACACTTCTGACATATCTGTGACAGTGAGACTCAGTGGGAGAAAAATCAATCATGGGAAACAGAGTGAGTTTGTCTTTGATTTCTAACACTTTTCTAATGTATATACTTTAGTCCTCACAAATATTAAAATTTGAGGCAAGTCCTTTGCTTACTTCAGATGTAATCAGCCTTAGGTTAACTCAATTTAAAGGATTATATATTGAAACTGGTTAGTCTATTTTCATCTCCAAAAATACTGAAGGGCCACATATGCTGATCTTGTATTACAGGTATCTAATTGAGATGAGATTTCTGGGGTTTTTTTTATTATGGTTTATGAGAAGAAAAAGACTCAAGGCAAGAATTTACAGTAACAAGAATAATTCAGGGGGGGACCTTCAAGATGGTGGAGGAGTAAGATGTGGAGATCACCTTCCTCCCCACAAATACATCAAAAATACATCATATGGGGAACAACTCCTACAGAACACCTACTGAATGCTGGAAGACCTCCCACTTCTCAAAGGGCAAGAAACTCTCCATGTACCTGGGTAGGGCAAAAGTAAAAAGAAAAAACAGAGACAAAAGAATAGGGATGGGACCTGCACCTCTGGGAGGGAGCTGTGAAGGAGGAGAAGTTTCCATACACTAGGAAGCGCCTTCACTGGTGAAGACGGGGGTTGGGCAGGGGTGAAGCTTTGGACCCATGGAGGAGAGTGCAGCAACAGGGGTGCAGAGGGCAAAGCGGAGAGATTCCCACACAAAGGATCAGTGCCAACCAGGACTCACCAGCCTGAGAGGCTTGTCTGCTCACCCGCCAAGGCGGGTGGGGGCTGGGAGCTGAGGCTAAGGCTTTGGAGGTCAGATCCCAGGGAGGGGACTAGGGTTGGCTGTGTGAAAACAGCCTGAAGGGGGCTAGTGTGCCACAGCTAGCTGGGAGGGAGTCTGGGAAAAGTCTGGACCTGCCAAAGAGGCAAGAGACCATTGTTTCAGGGTTCAGGAGGAGAGGGGATTCCTTCCCCATGTGCCCACAGAAGGCAGAGCACCACCTAAGTGAGCTCCAGAGATGGGTGTGAGCCATGGCTATCAGCTCAGACGCCAGAGACAGGCATGAAATGCTAAGGCTACTGCCGCTGTGACCAAGAATCCTGTGTGCAAGCACAAGTCACTACCCACACCCCCCCGGGAGCCTGTGCAGCACGCCACTGCCAGGGTCCTGAGATACAGGGACAACTTCCCCAGGAGAAAACGGTGTGCCTTAGGCTGTTGCAATGACATGCTGGCTTCTACTGCCACAGGCTGACCCGCATTCCAATTATGACTACCATACCCTTCCTTCTACACAGCCAGAGAGAGAAAGAGAGACCTAATCAGCTGCTGCTTTAATCCTCTGCTGTCTGGGTGGGGAACAAAGATGTGAGGACAACCTACATGCAGAGGCAGGGCAAAAGCAAAAGCTGAACCCCAGGAGCTGTGCAAAAAAAAGAAGAGAAAGGGAAATTTCTCCATGCAGCCTCAGGAGGAGTGGATTAAATCCCCACAACCAACTTGATGTACCCTGCATCTGTGGAATACTTGAGAGACAAGGCATGTTCCCAAAATTGAGAAGATGGATTTTGGGAGCAACTGTAGACTTGGGGTTTACTTACAGTGACTGATTTGTTTCTCAGTTTTATGGTTATCTTACTTTAGTTCATGTGCTTTTTTGATTGGTGAATTTGTTTATTGGCTTGGCTGCTCTCTTCTTTTTTTCTCTTCTTTTCTTTACTTTTTTATTTTATTACTTTTTAAATTTTATTTTATTTTCCTTTATTTTTTCTTCCTTTTCTTCTGAGCCATGTGGCTGACAGGGTCTTGGTGCTTTGGCCGGGAGTCAGGCCTGAGCCTCGGAGGCAGCAGAGCTGTGTCCAGGACATGGGACCACCGGAGACCTCACGGCCCCACGTAATATCAGTCGACGAGAGCTCTCCCAGAGATCTCCATCTCAGCACTAAGACCCAGCACCACCCAAGAGCAGGCAAACTCAAAGGCTTGATGTCCCATGCCAAACAACTAGCAAGACAGGAATACAACCACACCCATGAGCAGAGAGGCTGCCTAAAATCATACTAAGTTAACAGATGCCCCAAAACACACTACTGGACACTGCCCTGCCCACCAGAAAGATAAGATCCAGCCCCACCCACCAGAACACAGGCACCAGTCCCCTCCACCAGGAAGCCTACACAAGCCATTGAACAAACCTCACCCACTGGGGGCAGACACAAAAAACAATGGGAACTATGAATCTGCAGCCTGCAAAAGGGAGAGCCCAAACACAGTAAGTTAAACAAAGTGAGAAGACAGAGAAATATGCATCAGATGAAGGAGCAAAGTAAACACCCACCAGATAAAACAAATAAAGAGGAAATAGGCAGTCTACCTGAAAAAGAATTCAAAATAATATAGTAAAGATGATCAAAAATCTTAGAAATAAAATGGAGAAAATACAAGAAACGATTAACAAGGACCTAGAAGAACTAAAGAACAAACAAACAATGGTGAAGAACACAATAAATGAAATTTAAAATTATTTATAAAGAATCAATAACAGAATAACTGAGGCAGAAGAACGGATAAGTGACCTGGAAGATAAAAGAGTGGAAATAACTGCTGCAGGGCAGAAAAAAAGAAATGAAAAGAAATGAGGACAGTCTCAGAGATCTCTGGGACACCACTAAACACACCAACATTCGAATTATAGGGGTTCCAGAAGAAGATAAGAAAAAGAGAGGGTTTAAGAAAATATTGGAAGAGATTCTAGTTGAAAACTTCCCTAACATGGGAAAGGAAATAGTCAATAAAGCCCAGGAAGAAAAGAGAGTCCAATACAGGATAAATCCAAGGAGAAACACGCCAAGACACATATTAATCAAACTATCAAAAATTAAATACAAAGAAAACATATTAAAAGCAGCAAGGGAAAA